ACCCTGAGCCATTTGAGGAAAGACACTGTCTTTTTCTTCTTTGTGTCCATTATGTAATGAGTTATAATACCCACTCAATAGACTTCTATATACATAAAACCCAGTGGTTGAAGTTTATGAGGAGACAAGCTGTGGCAACTAGCAATACCACCCCCCCCCCCCCGCCACCATCCCCTCATGCACTATACTCCTGGGAAAGTATTTGTTTAGTGAAAAGGATATGGTCTTTTTTTTTTAATGTTTATTGAATTTTGAGATAGAGAGAGGCAGAGTGCAAGCGGGGGAGGGGAAGAGGGGCAGAAGAAGGCTTCAGACTCTGAGCTGTAGCATAGAGCCCGACGGGGGGCTTAGTCTTGGGAATGGCGAGATGACACGCTAGGCGGAAGTCAGACGCGTAACCAGCTGAGCCACCCAGGCGCCCCAAAAGTATATGGTCTTGAAAAGCAAACAGAACCCTGTTAAAATTCTAATGTAGACACTCATTGAGCAATTCAATCTCCTTGACCTTTACTGTTTTATATGTATAAAGCAAGGACAATACCTCCTATGTTATACAGGTGTTTTGAGGATTGAATGAACAAATATTCACACAGTGTATCATGATGCTTGCCTGGCACATAAAAGGCACTCAATAAATACTGATCCTCTATCTTCCTCTAATATCCCAGACTTATCCTCTTCAGACTGGGTCCTCAGCAATGTGTCAAGAGGGCCACAAAGCCACTGGATAAACATGATGGTCATCCTGTTGCATATGCTTTTCTGGATGACACATAATTATATTAATATAAAACATTTATTCATGGATGCATTTACTCAACAGATGTTTTTGAGCACCTGCTATGGAACATAAGTCTGCTGGGTACAAGGGATAAAATAATAAGATATGAATCCTCTAGTCCAGTGGGAAGGAAGGAAGGAAGGGAGGGAGGAGGGAGGAAGGAAGGAAGTTACAATTTTTGACAAGTACTGTGAAGGAAACAAAGAAATTACAGAGATAGAAACTAGTAGAAGGAGGGGCCAACCTCTTTAGACAGAGTGGACAGAGAAGTCTTTTAAAAGCAGTGGCATTAAGTTGAATAATGAGGAGACAGACATGGGAAGACTTAGGGATGAGCATTTGAAGCAGAGGGAACAGCAATGCAAAAGTCACATGACTTCTTCACATAAAACAAATTTCATAGTTGCTGGTTTAGCAATCTCCCTGTTATTTGGAGATTTTTGGTAAATATTTGGGAAGTATTGCAGCGGAGACTTTGAATGCCAGCTGCAAGATGTAGGAATGGCAGATAAAAATCACTCTCTTCCCCCCCTATATTTAAGTTAGCAGCTTGCAAAGCCTGTAACTAAGTGTTCAGAATAAACTGGCATTGCTCAAATATAGAGGGAAAGATTATGTAGCTAGATTTATATTGCTTATGTGGCACTTGCAATTCAGGATAGAGATTCACACTAAAATAAAATAAAACTAAGGTTCCTCTCAGCGCACGCGTGCTGTCCTTTTGCCTCATGTGGGCATACTGCAACAAAATGATAATTGTTCGTCTTTATACAGATAAAGGGACTCACAATTGTAAAACTTATTAAATTATTATAAATATACTGAAAAGCACTGGTTTCACTGAAGAAATATTTAGAGAGAGGATTAAGGTAGGTAAGTTTCTTGAAGGAGGAATAATTTTATCTTATTTATCTTTGTGTTGCTAATACCTTGCATAGTGCCAGAGACATAGTTGCTCAACATACACTTGATGAATTACAATGAAGTTATAGTTTCTAATTCGGATTGGTGAGGGATACCAAGACTCTCTCAAGCTCAGGCATTCATCATTACAATTAATTCCAGTGAAATAGAAAAATACGTACATTCCATAGTATTCATTTTTGCTTGCAATCATTGGGTTTGGCCATACTTTTGACTCTGTGCATACTCTGTATCTTCAATGCCTGTGGAATTCTGTTTGTGACAGATCCTTCATAACCTTGATAACAGGCCTAACAAAACGCCATAACACAATGAAGCTGAGGAGGCAGAAAGTAATTACAGTACTTGCAGAAAGGACGAATAGTTATGGCCACAAAACTTCTTTTGAAACTGTTCTTAGAGGAGTTATCCCTGTTGCCCTAGTGAAATTATGAAGAAAAAAAAAAGCAAGTTTTTTTTCAGAAGTGATCCTCTTTTCCTTAGGCTTTAAAACTGTTTTCTACATGGAAGAGAAATGTATTATAATCTCAAAGCAAAATATGTACAATATACGCTAAGAATAGCATACCAGTGCAAGAATCAAATATTTTTGATAGTGAGGAACGCTGGAATTTGGCTTTGCTATCCTATTTACAAATTTAAAGAAATGAAAAATAGATACAATGAGAAACTAAATTTAAAGACAGATTAAGTCAACCATAGCTGTATGAGTTAATTTTTAAAGTGTATATATATATATATATATATATATGATATATACATGTACATATATATGAACTTTTTTATTTTTTTACTTTTTTAATGTTTATTCATTTTTGAAAGACAGAGAGAGACAGAACACAAGCAGGGGTGGGGCGGAGAGAGAGGGGGATGCAGAATCTGAAGCAGGCTCCAGGCTCTGAGCTGTCAGCATGGAGCCCGACACGGGGCTTGAACTCACAAACCCCGAGATCATGACCTGGGCCTAAGTCAGACGCTCAACCGACTGAGTCACCCAGGTGCCCCTATTTATGAACATTTATATTCACTTTTAAAAAATAAATTTTCATTCCATTACAGAATCCATTCCATAATATGTACTATGTATTTCTATTTTGACTTTTTATCCAACAAGCACCAAAGGATGATAGGCATGAACTCAGAGAATTTACTGCACTGTTACCATAGTAAATGTTTTTTTCTTCACTAGGCTGAGATCTCTTGGTCCTAGTGGATAGTTTAAACTGTTTTAAAAAAGAGTATGGTTATCTTGTGACACTCTCTCTTAATCTACTAGTGAAAGCAATAACAATGACTGGACTTTAGGCCACATCATCATACCTCAGCTTTTCTGCTCAAGATCGCTATTCCATTGGGCTCCACATTTATCCCTTACCAGTGACTAAAACCACAGGAAAGCGTGGATCAGGCCATTTTAACACACAAGAAAGAATCATCAGAAGTCACCTTACAAGGGCAAACAATGAGGCTGGCTCACAGCCACATCCTCCTCCTATGTCATATTACACCTTACATCTGTATATATTAAGCAGCCACCAATATATCTTCCATCTGGCTGCCCTATTACATCTTTGGTAAAACATACAGAGAGAAGCTCCTAGATACTCCAACCAAGAAGCTATTATAGAAAGCAAAATTAGAAGCAAGGGGAGCCCATTCCATATTTTACAAATGTCAAGAAGGAGGGATCATTAAAAATTTTAATTGTGAAAATAATTTAATTTGAAAGATGAGATTGGAAAAAAAAAAAAGAGGACAACTTATCATTGAAACACCCCAAACTTATGGACTATGTTACATTCTCAGGGAAATTTGAATTAGGCTTCAAAAATTCTCCTCTCATTTACATGTGCAGAAAAATTGTTCTCAGACATCCTTCACCAATATTTCCTACTCCCAGAGTGTTTTCCATAAATATTTATGTGAGAAGTGATTTGACTCTTTTCTAGTTTCTGATGGCCTCCTTGCCTATTCAATTTTTTTTTTCTGTCAAAAATGACACCAGCTGGCAGAATTGATAAGCAGCTAAAAATGTAGTCTCTGGTAGATGGAACCCCCACTGTGTGATACCTGAATCGTAGATAAACTCCACATCCACACTGGTACTTTTCACCACATCAGAGCCACTAAAGCTGAACTTCCTCATTGGAGATTTGTTAGAAAGCTACATGTCATTTCTTTCTGGGAGTTGACCGTGTTGTTTTTCTATTTGCTCCCTTGACTATAGCTTTTACATGATGGAAATTATCCTAAGTTGGATATGCTTATGATAAAAAGAAAACAGATCTAACATATTCTAGTTATCAAATATCCAGGGGAAACACTTTGTCTAAAACTTTCACATGCTGTTCATTTGTGTAAATTTCTCACTTGGACATTTCTGGAGTGAAGCACTTTCTTTGCTGACGTGAACGTAGTATCGACTCCTTGAATTCGGGTTGGAATTTCAACACGAGAGGTGAAGCACAGAGCTTTCTACTTATGGCACAATTTACTATTGGGACACATTCACATGAACTTGAAAGAGGGCTTTGCTTACACTCCACTGAGGTGGCTGAGGGTTCAGTACTGTCAAAGTCTCAAATAAAGAAGTGAATATGGACAAAATTATGTATACTTGATGCTACTAGTATTTCGCAAAATAGCAGCGATAAAGTCTGTTGGTTTTAGTGGCACAGTTGCTGGGCCCCACTGTCTCACTAAAGACATTTTCATTACAAAGTTCCAGCCAGTCACTTTGCCTGGTGGTCCAGTGTAAGAGAGAGACTCCTTGCAAATCTCCCTAAGAGATAGAGCAGCAGATGACAATATCCCAGAGATCTAATGCTGATACTGATCCAATTTGACTGAAGCTGAGATCTTGTGTTTTTGAATAATAAACTAAAACTGGTTCTCCAACAATTAAAGAAAAGGGAGCATTAAAAAAATGGAAATAATGGGAAAATGGACATAATCATGGTCACCCAAACAAGGACAGCATTAAAGGATTATAATTAGTGGCATTATTTGAGAGGGTTATTTCCAAAACATGCTTTAAAGATATAAACTTAGAGAAAAGAAGCTTTAAATTTACATTTGAACTCCTCTAAAAGCATATAATCTTCAATATAAGAAGAAAAGTATAGTGGAAAATCACATAGTTTTTGAAGTGGTTTTCTTCTATGTACAAGCCTTTAAATGGCCATATGAAGTAAGGAAAAATGAGAAAGTTCAGAATGATGTGTCCACAATGACTGCTCAACTAAAAAAAAATACCGTTGAAATAATACAAACAGCTACTACCTAGTTGGTAAGAAGTGGTGGTTCAGGGAGTTGCCAGCTGTTATTTTATGTAGTTATTTAAATAAGAAATTAAGTAAAGTAAGGTGCAAAACATACTGATTTACACAGAACATTTCCAAATATGGAAGCCATACAAATAAAAATGGCTACCTTTCATGATTGTCAGGAAGACTCATCTTCTAGGCAGTTGTTTCCATATAGGTGTACTCTATATGGAATCTACAGTATATTTTCAAGATAAACACTGGTTCGACAAAGGGATTTCTTTCTGTGTAAAAACTATCTCTTCAAAATGAGGATTAAACCCATAATATGGCTGAATGACAACTAGCAGAAAACTAAGTGAACTGATCCAGTCTTCAGGATGTAGGACATATTCTAATTTAACCTTACACTGTGACTATCGATTATTCTGCAAAACTCGTGTCATGCTTAAATTTATAGTGATGAGGCAAGACTCTTCAAACAACTTTGATAAGCAAATAGAGTAAAAAAATCCTTCATCAAGGAGACTTACCTGCTCTCTCTTTGCTTCGTTTGCCAGAGAGCACCTGCAAGGAAAAACCACAACTATCTTAATATCTCAAAATTCCACTGCTTTCATCAAAAATGACATCATTAAGTTTGAAAAAAAAAACCCATCAGATTGTAAAATTAGAATTGAATGACCTCCAGAAATGAAAATAAAATTCCCACATGGGTATTAGGATTGAATGATTTTAGGCTGGACAAATCATTTGGAATAATAAACATAATTAAAATAGTCATTCACAAGGGAAATGTGTTTAACTTTTTCCCTCTGTATTTTGTAATCCTATGCATCCATTTAGTAGCCAAAAGAAGACTGAAGTCTAGTTTTTATCTTTTACTCTGCTGCCCTTGTGTCACCTCCTAATGCTAAAACCAGTCCCTACCTCACTTTCTCAGTTAACAGTCCAACAGCTAAGGCAGTTGAGCACTCCTCCTTTCTGAAATTTTATTTTTCTGGGCTTTTGTTCTCCTACATTGTCCTTGCTGTATTTTCTACCTCTCTAGCTGTTCCTTCTCATTTTCTCAGTGGGCTCTTTCTTTGCCTGTGCCCTTCTTATATGTTGATTTCATTTACTTTTGTTTTATTTTGTTTTGTCAGGCATTGGTCAGGGCCTTCTCTTCTCACTCTACACATTTTCCAGGGTGATCTCATCTACTTTCCATCCATATTTTGATAGCCTCCAAATTTATACCTCCAGCCCATATCTATTTCCTTGAGCTCCAGGCCAATAGAGGAAACTGTTATTGGACATCTTCACTGGGACATTTCACAGACACCTCAAACTCCATGTGTCCAAAGCTCAACATTATCTACCCCCCACCCCACCCCACCCCCACAGTCTCTTGCTGACCCTTTTTCTGTGTTCCCATCTTAGTGAATGGCTTCACCATTGCTATGGACTGATTGTCTCCCTGACCTTCCAGTTCATATGTTGAAGCTTAATCCCCAGTGTGATAGTATTTGGAGATGGGAACTTTGGGAGATATTTAGGTTTGGATAAGTACATGGGGGTGGATCCCCCAAGATGGGAGTAATGCCCTTAAGATGATGAAGAGCTCAGAGCTCTCTCTCTCTCTCTGTCATGTGAGGACATAGCGAGAAGACGGGCATTTGCAAACCAGAAAACAGGCTCTCACCAGACCCCAAACCTGCCAGTGCCTTGATTTGACACTTCCAGTCTTCAGACCTAGAGAAATAATGTTTGTTGTTTAAGCCATCCAGGTTATGGTATTTTTGTCATAGCAGCCTGAACTGACTAAAACAACCATCTACCCGGTTGCTCAAATCAGAAACCCAAGGATCATCCTTGACTCTTTCCTGGCCTTCTAAATACATTGTTGATGCCTATTCCCAAATCTTCCTTGAATCCATCTACTTCTTTTCATTCCTCCTTCCACCTATGAGCAACATTCAGGTCTTGCTTAGATAACTGTAATGGCTTCCTAACTTCTAGCCTGATTCTAGTCTTAGTCCCCTCCAAACTAGTCACACCCATGTGAACTTTCTAAAATACAATTTCATCAGGTCACTCTTCTTGAAAACTTTCAATGGTTCCCCATTAATCCTAAGAATAAATACAGTCTAGAGGTGAAGATCATACGCTTAGCAATCAGAATGATAGTAACTAGCCGCATGACCTTCAGACAGTTACCAAATTTCTTTGAACCTCATTCCCTTGTCAGTCATATGGGGTTGCTTTATGGAGTAAGTAAAATAATTCATGTGAGGTGCTGAGCAGCAACTGTGGCATGGAAGAGACATACAATGGATATTTGTTGATTTTTCTGAAGGAAATTCTGAAAAAGAGACCTAAATTTTACTGACTTTTTCAAAGCATCAAGTAAATGATACTCCATGGGAGTCAGGGATGAAAGAGGCAAACTATTGATGCAGTTAAAGCTTTGTCCTTGTTACCTCAGTTCCTACCTACCTTATTTTTTATTCTCCTTCTCTCTGTCTCTCTTACCTTATTCTATACCTCCACTTGAACTTACCCTGGATAAAACAAATCCACAAAAGAGTTGGTGATTGACAATAAGAAGAGTCACTTTTCCCAAGGATCTTCACATTTTAAAGGGTACCATCTGTAACCCACACCAACAACCTGAGATGTATCTTTCTTTCTTTTTTTCTATGCTCATATTATCATAAAAAAGTATATAAGCTCACGTACATACATACATATATTCACAAACACATAGGATTTTTGTCATTATTTATTAAAAGGTGATTATATTACCAAAAAAATAAAAATAAAAATAAAGGGTACCATCTGAGAGCAGACAACAAGTATTGAACCTCTAATGGTAAAATTTCAGACATGTGAGACCGAGGAGAAAAATCTCTCTCTACATTTCTCAGGTAACATCCACTAGGTGACTACTCACTGCTCTAAAAAGAATCCAACCTGACTATAGATAGCAGTATAGCATATTTAAATGGTTCTGACTTGGTTTGGAAGCAAATTTATTTAATGACTATTTGACTTGGAATAGCAAGTAGAATAAAATTAGAAAGTAACTTTTGTTATGTGAACATAATAAAATATTAAGAATTATTTTCTAAATATCATAATAATATTTAATCATCATACAAAGAAATAATCATCATAAAAAGAGACAAAGAAATAAATGATTTAATCATCATACAAAGGAATCATCATACAAAGAAATAATCATCATACAAAGAAATAAAGCAGAATTCAAGCTCAGCTGTTTAAAAACTCTGACTTATGACAACAATTACTGCAGAGAAATTTCAGCCTGAGGGCTTAAAAAGAAAACAAAACATATTCAGTATTCTTCCTCCACCACTCCTTGAGATTGAATGCTAACATAGCCACTCATACATTAATAACAAATAATCCTTGACAGAAGAACTGAAAGTCAGATTACCTGATTCCAAAATAAATCAATGCAACCCAGATGAAATAGGGATTCTTAGATAAAATAGACCATTTGACAAAAGTATGGTTGAGTATTATTTAGTCTTAAGTATAGAACGTTATTTTAAAAGGTATATAGAGTTTACGTTCGATAAATACATAAATTGACATGGAAATACGAAAAACATTAATGCTGAATGACATGATGAGAAAAAAGGTAGAAATTAAGTGCCTGAAATTAATGCAACAAAAGTTAGTGTTTTTGAAAACTGAAGATATTTGGAAGAGATTACTGAAGTTCCAAGATTTTAGATATATTTAAAATTGAACCCTTAACACATGTAACCATCTAAATAGTACATGAAAAGTTAGAAGTAGAAGTAGGGACACCCATTACCTCAGAAAACTGATGTGGCAAAAAATAAATATATCATATGTATTTTCTGTAATCCGTCAGTCCTAAACATTCATAAATGTGATGGTGAGCATAAATATCCTTATAGATATACAGCAATATTTTAGCATAGTAATTTCCACTAAAAACCACTAGATTGCAGGGGCCCAAAGGAGGAGGAAATGGGGAGTCATTGTTTATTGATGAAAGAGTTTCAGTTTTGCAAAATGGAGACAATTCTGGAGATGGAGGCGGTGGGGGTTGTATGACAATGTCAATGTACTTATGCCACTACACTGTACACTCAAAATGGTTGAGATAATAAATTTTATGTTATATACATTTTTTTCACAATTAAAAAAGACACATAAAACTCTCTAGATACATGCCTTCTATTGTAACTCAAACCCCTCTATTTGGAAACCCAAATGATAGGGTAGAAGCACTGTAGACCCTAGATTAGAAACATCACATGAACAGAATAGGTCTAAGATCTAAAATGTGACTAATGGACAGATAATAAAGGAACTGATACTAACTTGGAGACAGTTATTTATACTCATCTAAAGTTATCATTAGATTATAGTCAGTTTCAGAAACATAAGAAAGAAAAGGGGTGCCTGAGTGGCTCAATCAGTTAAGCATCTGACTTTGACTCAGGTCATGATCTTGTGGTTCGTGATTTTGAGCCCTGCGACAGGCTCTGTGCTGACAGGTCAGAGCCTGGAGCCTGCTTAGGATTTTGTGACTCCGTGTCTCTCTGTGCCTCTCCTTCCCCTCTACAAAATAAACAAATATTTAAAAAATTTTTAAAGGGGCCCCCCGGGTGGCTTAGTCGGTTGGGCGTCCAACTTCAGCTTGGGTCATGATCTCGCAGTCCGGGAGTTCGAGCCCCACGTCGGGCTCTGTGCTGACAGCTCAGAGCCTGGAGCCTGCCTCAGATTCTGTGTCTCCCTCTCTCCCTGACCGTCCCCCGCTTATGCTCTATCTCTCTCTCTCAAAAATAAACGTTTAAAAAAAATTTTTTTTAAACATAAGAAAGAAGGGTGCACTTGGGAGCAGAATGTGGGATAATGCCATTCACTGATGCCAGGTTAGTTAATTAAATGTCTCTAGACCAACAATGGGTTTTTTTTCTCTGAATATTTTATTCAGTAAGTATTTGTTGAGTGCTTTATCAATATATAGAAATACACATTTCTAGCATTATGCTGCATGTTTGACACTTTATCTCTGTTGTATAGATGGCTGGGGCAAGTAAATCATTAAAGTTGGAGATTTAGGAACTCTAGAACTGTTAGAATTATCTCATGGATAACTCATAGTAAATTCCTTTGAACTAAGTTGAAGAATCATTTGCCTCATTTGGTGAGATCTTCCACAAGGTATTAAGTTTTTAATACCTCTAAAGCCATGGTAATTATAAATCCATGTTCACATGGTTTAAGAATAACAACATTTTAGGAATTGTCTTATGATATGGCTGGATTTAAAGTGCAATTGCTGGGGCGCCTGGGTGGCGCAGTCGGTTAGGCGTCCGACTTCAGCCAGGTCACGATCTCGCGGTCCGTGAGTTCGAGCCCCGCGTCAGGCTCTGGGCTGATGGCTCAGAGCCTGGAGCCTGTTTCCAATTCTGTGTCTCCCTCTCTCTCTGCCCCTCGCCCGTTCATGCTCTGTCTCTCTCTGTCCCAAAAATAAATAAACGTTGAAAAAAAAAAATTAAAAAAAAAAGTGCAATTGCTTCTTGCAGCAAATTTACCCAGACACGTATCCCTTGCCCACATAGACAAATACGCAGATTAAATGAACAGAACAATACCAGATAACCATAAAAATATCCAGATAATTTTTATTGGGAGGCTATCGTCCTTGGGGCATGTAATGATCAATCAAGTCAATAAATACATTAACTACTATTGTCCAAGTTAAACTGAAAAGCTGTTTCAACACCTGCTGCTCCTGAAAAACAAAGGGCCCATTTGTTCCTAATGCTCTCATAGTAAACCTTTAAAACCCAAAGCAGCAGATAAAATACCAAAGAAAATAAACTCTTAGGTAAACATGTAAGCCACTTTACTATTTGCTCTTTACTTTTCCAGAATACACCTGCTGGTTTCAAACTCAATAAATAATATTCAGGGGTGACCCTGATTTAAACATTACAAAATAATGTCTAAGTAGCAATGAGCAAATAAGACTAATCACCAGATCACCATTAGAAAGTTGGTTTCCTTGGACAAATAAATACAAGAGATGAGTATTAAACACTGACTTTGGCCTAAGTAATTTAAGGCTGATTGACATTGATGTAGGTGAATTTACATCTCAAAATAACTTTCCTAATCTTCATGTTAGCTACCTAATAGGTCATGTACAAACTATATGCAAAAATGAAAGAGAAAAGAAAATATTCAAAGCATTAAGCTCTGCAATTCCAGAATCATTTCAAGGAGCCCTGCTAAGAGAGGTTCAACCAAAGTATCAAATCATGAAGAAAAAAAATGAATATGTAATGTTCCTTAATCACCATGTTAAACTCTCATTATTGACTTTAAATTTGAATCCAAAATATTCCAAGCATGGGCTTGCAGAGAAATTTCCCAAAACTCTTTATTTCTGATTTCTGCAAAAATTCTATCTAGTAGTTCTCAAAGCTATTCCTTCCCTGACTCGGCTTGAGAAAAGGCTGTAGGAACTCTTACTTGGTGAGGAATGTGGAGAAACAGAAGAGAATAGATTTCCTCACAATTACGTTTGTTATGAAAGCCAAAGAAAAGGCTGCTAAAAAGGATAGAGAAAATACATAATTTTAGAGCTACTGTTTATTTTTATTCGAACTTCTCTGCTTTCCTCTAGACCTGAGATACATAAAGTAATGCCTTTTTCATGCATATAAAAATCTCAATAAATCTTAAACATAACAGCCAAATGAAAATCTACTTTGCAGATTTAAAAATATTTTGGTCAAACCCATGATGTATAAATCTTTCCACTTCTAAATTTAAATTTTGGTATATATATATATATATATATATATATATATATATATATATATATATTAGCATTCACATATTTGGATAGATCTAGTAAGTAATACATAATTTCAGATGCTTAATCTAAATGCAAAAAAACCCCACCAGTCTTTACTGGCTCAGTGAGTCTAAAATGATGTTATTTAATAAACCATGGCATTTTAATAAGCATTCTTGACATCTGGTGTTAATAAAAAGGATTTTATATTTTATAGTTAACATTTAAAGAAAAAACATGACTGCAGTTTTGCTATTTATCACAGAGCACAGATGGCATAGGCCACATTTGGGTGGCTTCATTTCCTTCTTGATTAGTTTATATAAAGAGGCCACTTGTTTTCTCTCTTTCTGTGTATATTTTATATAAGTTTTGGACCAAGTCCCAGAAATGAATAAATGAAGGAAGAAAGGAATGCCTCAAATAAAAATTCATTTCTTAATAACAAAACTGATTATAGAATTTTCCTGGATCCAGTTTAGTTAATAAAGTTCATTTTAAACAATGATCCAAGGAATTTTACATCTGGATAAATATTTGAATTAAGTTTTCCAGAACTGAAAAAAAAATAAGGACCTAAAAACTTCCATCTTTCATACAACCATAGCGTCACTAGGCAAAGCTGACCAATCCTTTGATTCGAGGCAGCCTGTACCAGGAGTCTGTATGAAAGCAGCAGCTGAGCACAATGCTCCTGGGACAACCAGACTGGCATGGAGCCTCCAGATGTTCCTCTTGTCTCTGGACCATGAACCAAAAATATGGGTCTTGTCCTGCTTGCTCAGACTTCCTGTGTTCCTTCCTTTAGACCTTGTACTGAGTGTCCCCTTCCAACTTGGACATTGGACTTGGGCTGCCCCAGATTGACCCCAACATACCAGTTCCTGACCCTTTCCTCTAGAAGATGTCACTACGTATCTGGGAACATCAATGCAATACTATAATGCATCATATGAATTTTCATTACATTTTGTTAGAAAATTTGAAAATTAATGACTATACTTACACAAACATTTACCAGATAGTAATAACATATTATGTTATGAGTAATAATATCATGTTATGAGACACTCAAAGTAAAAAACAAAACTCTGACCGCAAATCCAATGAATTAATCTGTTAAAAATGGAGAAATGGCAGTATGAATTAATCAGCTCAAAATCAAACATTTTTTCTCCTTATTTAGTTTGGAATTATTTAATAATCATAAAAAATGTTTGGTTTCATGATTTAAACACAGATTTCCTAGCCAAGTAATATCATAGGCTCAGTGAGAAATACTTTGAATGTGTTGGCCCAGCTATCTAGCTTTATAAGAGGGCTGATTCACTCTAAGACAATTTGTGGGTGAGTAAAAAACTCCAAGATTTGATAATCTAGAAGATATAAGACATACACACATAAACTAACTAGAATGCTATTCTGTGAAGAATTTATTACAGTACATAATTAACTGACTTAGATAAGTGAGGTTAACATGTTTAAGAACACCTTAAAGTTAGTAGTAAAAAACTTTCACTACAATTGGGTGTGCTGTTGGACATCCAGTTGGATTAGGAAGAAACTATATTCTCAACTTGAATGAGATTGCATAGAAATGTAAAGATTAAATTAAAAATTGTGGACCATCTCTGATCCACAGTATCTAGGATCAGACTGGGCACATAACATGCTTACTCAATGCATTCTAAATAAACAAGTAAAGTGAACACTTATGTGTGTCTATATGAAAATATCTTTCTGTCCAACTACTATACTCAGTTTCATCTCTAACTTTAAAAATATTTCCCCCCATTAAGAAAGTTATGGAAAAGCAGGAATTCTACCACACCCCAATTCTGTACCATCGTAATCATAACCCCACCTCGCTTTTAGGTGTACATAAGTGAGAAATCAAAATCAGGAGTTTGGTCTGTCTGTTACCACATGGCCGGCCTCCTTGGGCAACCCCTGGGTTTGACTGCTTCATAGGCCTATTTGCATTGGCTTTCTGGTTTATTTTTATAGACCAGCACTGCCAGCTTTTACGATTATTCAAAAATTATAGTGGCATATTTTATTTAATGCTTCACTTTCTTTATAAGAGTGGTTTTGGGTTTAAAAATACGAAACATCTCATAAGCCTGATGACTTAGGCCGTGACATGTTCAGCTTAATATAGGCCAACGGAGAAAAATTGGGTCACCACGTTCTGGACACACAGCCCTGGAAAATGTCAGAAGTTGGATGGTCTGTTCTTCTGTCTGGCCTCAGCTCAAGTAACTTCCTGAATAAATCCTAAGTACTTTAAAAAACAAAAATGACTCTTAAGAACATATTTTCTTCTGAGTATGGAAGAAACACTGGTGATATTGGCTTTCCTGGAGCACCCTTTTCCTTCTGAATTTGAAAGTCACAGAAAAATCAATAGTTTAACAAAATGAGAATAAGAGATGAAATCTAGGAGATAATAATAATATAGTATCACTAATTTTGTTTGTGCTAATGGAGGTCTGGGACTTCAAAACTATTATGTATCAAAATATAATTAAACATCATCTTTAGACAAAAACACTTGTATAAACACTTTGCTGCATTTTACCACTAAGGGAAAGGAAGGAAGGAAGGAAGGAAGGAAGGAAGGAAGGAAGGAAGGAAAAGAAAGAAAGAAAGAAGAAAGAAAGAAAGAAAGAAAGAAAGAAAGAAAGAAAGAAAGGAAAGAAAGAAAGAAAGAAAGAAAGAAAGAAAGAAAGAAAGAAAGAAGTGGAGGGAAGAAGAAAAGGAGGGAGGGAGGAAAGAAGGAGCTAAAGAAAATAAAAATGGGGGAGGTGGGCTATTTGGTCCTGCTATTTGTTGAAAAAATGGTCTGAATTCTTGCTTCTCTGTTCCTGCAACCTCTGAATAAAGGTGTTGGTGAGTAGTGAAAAGGATGAAAGGAACACAGCAGGAAGAAGGAACTTAAAAGGCAAGGCTGATGAGTTTATGATATGAAACCCCCAAGCTAAGCAGACAGTCCTTGAACAACTACTGAATGACGCCTTTTTTTTCTTGTGTTCAGTTAATGCCTCCTCTCCTAACTTCAAGGGGTTCCTACTTGTGGCAATTATAACAATACACTACTCTGATCTTCTGCTCAGGGAGCTAATGCCCCCCTGGAACCACCACCCATTTAGTGCTGATGCTGCACTTCACAAAGGCTGTTCTGACCCAGTGAATGAACTTTGTAGGGGTATTGATATAGGCCCTTTCCAGCCGGGACACTCTCTATGGTCCCGGGGTCTCTATGCTCCAGGATTTCCCATTGGCCTGGCTAAGTCTTTCTTGGAACTGCTCTGTGGCTCCTTATTCCCTCTCTCCTCCCACTGGTATCAGACGTCCGATATTGTATGGAGGCTCTTCCCACATTTCCCTGCTCCCTTTCTCAATAAATCTCTTGCATGTCTAATCCTACTTGGTATCTGCCTCTTGGAAGAAATTAACTAAAATATTCACCTACTATCTTGCTTTTGTTTTATGGTCATAAGCAGGTATTTACAAACAGAAAAGCTGAAGCAAAGACAGATTTAATAAACTGCCAAAGAGGATACTATAACTCAATGGCTTGAGGCTCCTGATTCCCACAATCTTTGATTTAACAAATATTTATTGAATGCCTTCTATATGCCTGGTTCCAGGCCTTATCTTAAGAATAAAGAGCACTTCTTTGGGTGGCATGCTCATATTTGTGATATAAGATTGCTTGCTGCAAAGTGAAGAATGAATTGAAGGGGAGCAAGGGCAGATGAGAGGGGCCAGTTGGGAGACTGGTGCAATCGCCAAGGAAGAGATGATGGTGGCACGTGTGAGAACAGTTTCAGTGTAGATAGAAGAGATGGGGAAGTATTTCATAGGGAAAACAGATTTTTGATTCAGCAGGTATTAACCCTGGGCCAAGCTCTGGGCTACGCTCTGGGAAGACAGAAAACAAGACACATTCTTAATTGTCCAGAAGCATTTGGTTGACTTCCATTCAAAGATGTGTGTGTGTAAAGGATCTTTTACTGTACTTCAGTACCTTAAAGACCAAAGACATAATGGGAAAAAAGAAAAAACCCAAACCCTCCACCACCAGTATAACAAGAAGATGGCCATAAGCCTAAACCACAGACTATGAAACACAGAAGTCAATTACCATGGAAAGCTCCGCCAACATGAGGGCGCTGAGAGTGGCCCCAAACCTCAGACTCTGAACAGGATGCAGACTTCTCCAGAAATAAGCGTCACAATAGTGGAAGGTCTAGCCAATGATCCTTTGATTAGAATACCCAGTACTAGGCGAATTTGAGACAAGCAGGGAGTGCTCTTGTGTGCAGTTCCTTATCAGGGAAGGAAGGCAGGAGAAGAGGGCTCATGAGCACAGGTTAATGTGCCATATTAACTTCTATACCCAGAAGTGAATGAGGGTAAAGGACCAGGGGGAATAACCAATCATCAGATCTTAACACAAAGGTTTGTGACTCACTAGGCTTCACTCTGAATCAACCTTCCCTTTAGCATAGGGGTTGCATTTAGTACCTGCTGGTCAAATCCAGCCATTGCTTGTTTTTGTTCCATGAGCTGGGAATGGTTTTTATATTTTTAGGTGGTTAAAAAAATCAAATGAAGAATAATATTTTGTGAAACAAGAAAACTTCTGAAATCCGTATTTCAGCATCCAGGAATAAAGTTTTATTGAAACACAGCGATATTCATATTTACATGTTTTCTATGGCTGCTTTCAGGCTATTTATTTA